AAAGTGCCGCGATGGCTACACCTTTGCCCTTTGGGGGGTTAACGCTCATACCGTCGCTCAAAAACTCGTCTCTCAGTTCCTCTATTACTTGAAGCATCCGCGTTTGGCGCACTGTATTGCTTCCAACCATCGCAGTGCACCTGTGAATCTCAGTCCACAACCGGTTAGGCCCAGATTCTAGAGGGGGGCAGTAAGAACATTGAGCACACCAATTAGCTAGTCCTTCCTGCTTACACCAGCGTGCTGCAATGTACCGCGCCGGCAAGCTTGCCATTTCAGCATCTTTGAACACAAGAAACATATGCCGGCAAACTAACCCCAATCTTTCAAACAATTTGCAGCTGCATGACGCAATAGTCAAAGATGGCATATATTCAACAGTGTGGATAACGTTGTACTCCCCTTTAATGTCGTAACGGATGCACTCACCATCTGCACGGATCCCCACAACCTTACAATAAAAACATGCAGCCTCAATCTCTAGCTGGAGCTCATAAAACACTGTTAGGGTGAATACCTGCGCAATGTGTCGCTCCAATGCTAAAGGAGTTTTGAACTCAGGCAATGACCCCTCACTCTCAGCATTTAGTTTGCATTGTTTGTGCCGTTGCGTTTCCAGGACGCTCTCGTATTGCACATAAAACTCGACTAGGCTACAATGTGGGCGTGTGCTTTTACCGTACGCGTTGTTCTCTGATTCTGAATGCGATGTGGTACGTAGCACACCGCTCATGGGTAAATCTAAAAAATAAGATGGAATCCAAAACGCCCGTTCTGTGTATAACTTGATGAACCATCGACGCCCCGTTAAGTTGTACTTTTCCATTAACGACTGCCATTGCGTTTCAAAATCACTAATGCCAATGGTCTCATTCCACACAATGTTGTTAAGCTGGGTTCGGAAAGTCTGATCTTTTGATAATTCAACCCCTGATTTCTCGCTCACTTTGGTCATGATATGCCACATGCAGTAACGGTGCCGGCACTCCGGCAATATCTGTGCAATAGCACTCTTCATAGCCGGGTCTTGATCAGTTACGACACACAACGGGCTCTTTCCCATTGCAGCTTTAAATCTCTCGAGAACCCATACGTATGACTCAGTGTCTTCTCGAGTTAGCAACCCGCAAGCGAATGTGATGCAACGTTTATGGTGGTCTACCCCGGTAAAAGGTACGAACACCAAACTGTACCTACAGCACGAAGAGTCCACGGGGTAGTTAGCATGAACACTATTAAATTACCACAAAATAACACTAGTGGGGTATTCCAACACCATACTATTAATATTAAATAACCAATAAAATTCAACATGACTACAATGCACTTAACACCAATGGTAATGAGTTAGCACTACAATTAAGTATGATTAGCATGCTCTTTACTGAACATAGATGGGTGAATGATCATCCAAGAAAGAAAACATAGGAAAAACAGGTGCACTGGGGAATGGGAATAATAATAATAAAAATAAAATAATAATAATAATAATAATAATAATAGTAATAATAATAATAGAACAACAACAACAACAACAAATACTACTGCAATGAACGTGTTTGCACCGGTATGTTTAGTGTACAATGCACTACGCAGAATCAACACAATGAACGTGTTAACATTTACATACCTGTTCGTACCATACGTGGCATCGAAGGATATCACATCACCAAAACTCATAAAACTTTGACGCCTGGTGTGGTCAGCCCAAAAAACACGCGCAAGATGGTTTTCTTCATCGAGATAGTGATCAAAGAAAAAGTTCTCACAGATGTCACATCTTTGTTTAAATTTTGCAATGATCATCTCTCCGTCCTTGTCGTGGATGTATGATTGGAGGTCACGTTTGAAATTATGGAACTCCGTGTCTGTTGCACCAACGTTGGCATACGACCCCACGGATTCCTTGTATAACCGGAAGCCTTTAGACCCACCCACGTTAGCTTTAACACAATTTGTAAGGAACGCTTGCTGGGCCACATCTAGTTTACGATTGATTCGCATAAATAGCTTCGAAGGTTCAGAGCACATGCGGTGCGTGTGTTCGGGAACAAAAATGCTAACGATGAACCCCACGCCTTTGTCCTTTATGATGCAGATCCGAGCATTGCAGTTAACCCTGTTAGATACCCGTTTCCTGCGTTGAGTGATCGAACCACCACTGCCACCCACCACGGGTTTTGGCGGATTTTGACCACCACCTTTAACGCCTTCTCGGCTGCATAACAAATAACGCGAGGTTAGTTGGCCGTCACGACCTCGTTTTAGGGTGCCATGCGGCACAGAGAAGCCACATGTCCTAGCGTAGTTGATATAGAAATACACCCCTTCTGCTAGAGTTTTGAAACGGTAACCGATAGCCGGGGTAATTGCACTGTCCACAGCGGGCCACCAATATTTGACGGGTATGCTCGTATACCCACCCGTGCCTGCACTCTCTTGCCCCCCGACATCTACAAAAAAGGAAAATATGATTATGCTGGAAAATATGCATACCGCCCAGTAATAAATATGTGAACACAGTAGGCAACTAATTAATGCATGTTAACTATCTACTCACTTAACTTTTTTAACACATTCTTGCTGCACTTAAACTGCAAATAATTTCTGGCAGAACATGGGGTGTATTCCCTGAATCACAAGAAATCAGTATAACTCCTACACACTTAAACTGCAAATAATTTCTGGCAGAACATGGGGTGTATTCCCTGAATCACAAGAAATCAGTATAACTCCTACATCTGAGGATGAAGGTTTCAAGCTAGGATCACAAAGTTGTGATACAAAATATGTGAGAATATTGAAATCCTCTTCTTCCTGCACTTTCTGGGTTCCTAGACTGCATTTTTTTGTGTCCTTTTCATTTATGACATCCTCTATATTTGAACTGCCGTTCCTAATAGAATGCATCTTACTTGTATGCAACGTATTACATCTTATTCCAAATAGGATTTCCCTAATTAGAATATTCATTATAACAGAATTTTAATTTAACTATTCATTATCATTCTTAATCATAACATTGAACTTTGTGTAGCTAATAATACAACAGTACACTTGGCAAGTGGATTCATAATATAATTGAGGAAATTATACAACAGTACCACTAACCAAAGTGGTAAAAGACAAAAAAAAAAATGTATATGAAGGCTCTGACTTTGGGCACAGTTTTGCATGGCGGCTTACAGTGCAAACAAATTAGCCATGGACACAAACCTCTCTATTATCATGTTCTCACATGTGGTAAACAGAATCTTCCACTATGTATACTAGCTAAGGCATAATATAAGCTAGCTTTTTACCTATCTCACCATCATCATCACTAAATATAATGGTGCACAAACATCCAAAACACCGGCACCTACTCTTGGTTATCCGATATCCATTTTTTCATGCCATGTGGGTAGGGCAGTTGCATTGTGTACGGAAAACAAAAAAAAAAAAAAAAGAACAACACGGGCGGCGGCGTACGGGATAAATGAAGAACGAACCTTCTGAATATAATTTGTGTTGTGCAGTATTTCTTCCCCATATTCCACAAACCACGGTTCTATGTAATGTGTATAAGTTTTAAGCACAACGGGTTTGTCATCATCGACAGCTCACCAACGACCAGCATGGATATGGAGGCGTACGGTACAGCACCAGATGAATTGGTAAACACCACGCACTCTTGACACTGAATGCTATTGGTTATGTATACTCGCACACCCTCTTATCTTATGTCTGATTGCAGAGGGACCTACTCGCCGTGTACCTAGATACTAAGCAGCACACTGTTCGAGCTCTACGATTGAGAAACATGCAGCACGAGAGGATGAAGTTGGCATGGTCTGACAACCCTATCAACGGTGACTCTGGGGTGTACACAATGAGGCACATGGAAGATTTTGTTGGTCAAGATCCCAGATATTGGCAGTGTGGGCTGGGGCCGGGAGATCCCGCGGTCATTGAAAATATGCGGACGAGATTTCTGCACAACATCTTGCTATGTACGGTCAATGACAACATCGACAATATCCGCACACGAGCAGGGGAATATGATCGCGATAGGACCGAACAACTCTTAAAAGGGGCACCACAGTGTACGACGGGTATGAGGTAGTGGGGGGAATATGATGTCGTTAATATAGTGTAGGAAGGCAATCTAATTTTGATTGTTTAGTTTTGTTTGATTTTGTGCACAGCTTCTGTCAAAGTGCAATAGGTCCCGAACAAGACTGTTTAGTTGGGTAGCATATTAATAAATTATATGCATAAATGGGTTAATGCCAACAGTAATATAGTATGTATAGTATGTCACGCAAAATCGGCATCGTATTGCCAAATGCACCACCATACCACAACTTAGATGCACCAAAACTCCACACCATGTTGTGTTGGGTAGCACACTAAAAAATTATATATGCATAAATGGGATAATGCCAGCAGTAGTGGCATATAGTTAATCGACCTCGATGGGGGAATAAAAAAAAACAAACACACTGCGGTGCACAACATGTACCACAACTCCAGACCATGGTGTGTCTCTTACGTGGAACGACAATGTCATATAGTTAAGAGCTCTTTCTCGGTTGAAATGCACCACAAACCTGCGCGTATAACGTGCCATAAAAACACTAACCAACAGCCAGAACTATATGCATAAAATTAATGGTGGGTCATGAACTCAAATACACTAACCAACAGCCAACTCAAATACATATACCCATGAACTGCGATGTCTATATTAATATCCAGGAATGAGTGATAAATACATGTAGTCAATAAAAAAATACCATATTAATATCCATGAATGAGTGATAAATACATGTAGTCAATAAAAAAAAATACCATCCAGCGCATGGGCAATTATCATCACCAAAATGAGCTAATGGAATGGACAAACACTCCAGTGTTCTTATTAATAACCAAATACGAAGGATTGAAACGTACGATAAATAAAGTTAACTACAACTCCAATGTCTTTAATAATAACTAAGGACGAAAAAAATATAAAACTAATATAATGGACCGTCCGGGTGCACTGATCTCTTCAACGGACAGCTGCGAGCGTTATGATGCGCGTACTCGCCACACACCCCGCACTTTCTGCAGGCCTTGCCACTCCTCTCAATGGTTAACTCCCGTTGGCTTTTAATTCGCTTGCAGGTCCCTTTGTTTTTTGCTTGAGCTGGAGGTTTAATGGTAATGGACGTCGGCGGCTCCACACCACAAAGTGCCGCGATGGCTACACCTTTGCTCTTTGGGGGGTTAACGCTCATACCGTCGCTCAAAAACTCGTCTCTCAGTTCCTCTATTACTTGAAGCATCCGCGTTTGGCGCACTGTATTGCTTCCAACCATCGCAGTGCACCTGTGTATCTCAGTCCACAACCGGTTAGGCCCAGATTCTAGAGGGGGGCAGTAAGAACATTGAGCACACCAATTAGCTAGTCCTTCCTGCTTACACCAGCGTGCTGCAATGTACCGCGCCGGCAAGCTCGCCATTTCAGCATCTTTGAACACAAGAAACATATGCCGGCAAACTAACCCCAATCTTTCAAACAATTTGCAGCTGCATGACGCAATAGTCAAAGATGGCATATATTCAACAGTGTGGACAACGTTGTACTCCCCTTTAATGTCGTAACGGATGCACTCACCATCTGCACGGATCCCCACAACCTTACAATAAAAACATGCAGCCTCAATCTCTAGCTGGAGCTCATAAAACACTGTTAGGGTGAATACCTGCGCAATGTGTCGCTCCAATGCTAAAGGAGTTTTGAACTCAGGCAATGACCCCTCACTCTCAGCATTTAGTTTGCATTGTTTGTGCCGTTGCGTTTCCAGGACGCTCTCGTATTGCACATAAAACTCGACTAGGCTACAACGTGGGCGTGTGCTTTTACCGTACGCGTTGTTCTCTGATTTTGAATGCGATGTGGTACGTAGCACACCGCTCATGGGTAAATCTAAAAAATAAGATGGAATCCAAAACGCCCGTTCTGTGTATAACTTGATGAACCATCGACGCCCCGTTAAGTTGTACTTTTCCATTAACGACTGCCATTGCGTTTCAAAATCACTAATGCCAATGGTCTCATTCCACACAATGTTGTTAAGCTGGGTTCGGAAAGTCTGATCTTTTGATAATTCAACCCCTGATTTCTCGCTCACTTTGGTCATGATATGCCACATGCAGTAACGGTGCCGGCACTCCGGCAATATCTGTGCAATAGCACTCTTCATAGCCGGGTCTTGATCAGTTACGACACACAACGGGCTCTTTCCCATTGCAGCTTTAAATCTCTCGAGAACCCATACGTATGACTCAGTGTCTTCTCGAGTTAGCAACCCGCAAGCGAATGTGATGCAACGTTTATGGTGGTCTACCCCGGTAAAAGGTACGAACACCAAACTGTACCTACAGCACGAAGAGTCCACGGGGTAGTTAGCATGAACACTATTAAATTACCACAAAATAACACTAGTGGGGTATTCCAACACCATACTATTAATATTAAATAACCAATAAAATTCAACATGACTACAATGCACTTAACACCAATGGTAATGAGTTAGCACTACAATTAAGTATGATTAGCATGCTCTTTACTGAACATAGATGGGTGAATGATCATCCAAGAAAGAAAACATAGGAAAAACAGGTGCACTGGGGAATGGGAATAATAATAATAAAAATAAAATAATAATAATAATAATAATAATAATAGTAATAATAATAATAGAACAACAACAACAACAACAAATACTACTGCAATGAACGTGTTTGCACCGGTATGTTTAGTGTACAATGCACTACGCAGAATCAACACAATGAATGTGTTAACATTTACATACCTGTTCGTACCATACGTGGCATCGAAGGATATCACATCACCAAAACTCATAAAACTTTGACGCCCGGTGTGGTCAGCCCAAAAAACACGCGCAAGATGGTTTTCTTCATCGAGATAGTGATCAAAGAAAAAGTTCTCACAGATGTCACATCTTTGTTTAAATTTTGCAATGATCATCTCTCCGTCCTTGTCGTGGATGTATGATTGGAGGTCACGTTTGAAATTATGGAACTCCGTGTCTGTTGCACCAACGTTGGCATACGACCCCACGGATTCCTTGTATAACCGGAAGCCTTTAGACCCACCCACGTTAGCTTTAACACAATTTGTAAGGAACGCTTGCTGGGCCACATCTAGTTTACGATTGATTCGCATAAATAGCTTCGAAGGTTCAGAGCACATGCGGTGCGTGTGTTCGGGAACAAAAATGCTAACGATGAACCCCACGCCTTTGTCCTTTATGATGCAGATCCGAGCATTGCAGTTAACCCTGTTAGATACCCGTTTCCTGCGTTGAGTGATCGAACCACCACTGCCACCCACCACGGGTTTTGGCGGATTTTGACCACCACCTTTAACGCCTTCTCGGCTGCATAACAAATAACGCGAGGTTAGTTGGCCGTCACGACCTCGTTTTAGGGTGCCATGCGGCACAGAGAAGCCACATGTCCTAGCGTAGTTGATATAGAAATACACCCCTTCTGCTAGAGTTTTGAAACGGTAACCGATAGCCGGGGTAATTGCACTGTCCACAGCGGGCCACCAATATTTGACGGGTATGCTCGTATACCCACCCGTGCCTGCACTCTCTTGCCCCCCGACATCTACAAAAAAGGAAAATATGATTATGCTGGAAAATATGCATACCGCCCAGTAATAAATATGTGAACACAGTAGGCAACTAATTAATGCATGTTAACTATCTACTCACTTAACTTTTTTAACACATTCTTGCTGCACTTAAACTGCAAATAATTTCTGGCAGAACATGGGGTGTATTCCCTGAATCACAAGAAATCAGTATAACTCCTACACACTTAAACTGCAAATAATTTCTGGCAGAACATGGGGTGTATTCCCTGAATCACAAGAAATCAGTATAACTCCTACATCTGAGGATGAAGGTTTCAAGCTAGGATCACAAAGTTGTGATACAAAATATGTGAGAATATTGAAATCCTCTTCTTCCTGCACTTTCTGGGTTCCTAGACTGCATTTTTTTGTGTCCTTTTCATTTATGACATCCTCTATATTTGAACTGCCGTTCCTAATAGAATGCATCTTACTTGTATGCAACGTATTACATCTTATTCCAAATAGGATTTCCCTAATTAGAATATTCATTATAACAGAATTTTAATTTAACTATTCATTATCATTCTTAATCATAACATTGAACTTTGTGTAGCTAATAATACAACAGTACACTTGGCAAGTGGATTCATAATATAATTGAGGAAATTATACAACAGTACCACTAACCAAAGTGGTAAAAGACAAAAAAAAAAATGTATATGAAGGCTCTGACTTTGGGCACAGTTTTGCATGGCGGCTTACAGTGCAAACAAATTAGCCATGGACACAAACCTCTCTATTATCATGTTCTCACATGTGGTAAACAGAATCTTCCACTATGTATACTAGCTAAGGCATAATATAAGCTAGCTTTTTACCTATCTCACCATCATCATCACTAAATATAATGGTGCACAAACATCCAAAACACCGGCACCTACTCTTGGTTATCCGATATCCATTTTTTCATGCCATGTGGGTAGGGCAGTTGCATTGTGTACGGAAAACAAAAAAAAAAAAAAAAAGAACAACACGGGCGGCGGCGTACGGGATAAATGAAGAACGAACCGTCTGAATATAATTTGTGTTGTGCAGTATTTCTTCCCCATATTCCACAAACCACGGTTCTATGTAATGTGTATAAGTTTTAAGCACAACGGGTTTGTCATCATCGACAGCTCACCAACGACCAGCATGGATATGGAGGCGTACGGTACAGCACCAGATGAATTGGTAAACACCACGCACTCTTGACACTGAATGCTATTGGTTATGTATACTCGCACACCCTCTTATCTTATGTCTGATTGCAGAGGGACCTACTCGCCGTGTACCTAGATACTAAGCAGCACACTGTTCGAGCTCTACGATTGAGAAACATGCAGCCCGAGAGGATGAAGTTGGCATGGTCTGACAACCCTATCAACGGTGACTCTGGGGTGTACACAATGAGGCACATGGAAGATTTTGTTGGTCAAGATCCCAGATATTGGCAGTGTGGGCTGGGGACGGGAGATCCCGCGGTCATTGAAAATATGCGGACGAGATTTCTGCACAACATCTTGCTATGTACGGTCAATGACAACATCGACAATATCCGCACACGAGCAGGGGAATATGATCGCGATAGGACCGAACAACTCTTAAAAGGGGCACCACAGTGTACGACGGGTATGAGGTAGTGGGGGGAATATGATGTCGTTAATATAGTGTAGGAAGGCAATCTAATTTTGATTGTTTAGTTTTGTTTGATTTTGTGCACAGCTTCTGTCAAAGTGCAATAGGTCCCGAACAAGACTGTTTAGTTGGGTAGCATATTAATAAATTATATGCATAAATGGGTTAATGCCAACAGTAATATAGTATGTATAGTATGTCACGCAAAATCGGCATCGTATTGCCAAATGCACCACCATACCACAACTTAGATGCACCAAAACTCCACACCATGTTGTGTTGGGTAGCACACTAAAAAATTATATATGCATAAATGGGATAATGCCAGCAGTAGTGGCATATAGTTAATCGACCTCGATGGGGGAATAAAAAAAAACAAACACACTGCGGTGCACAACATGTACCACAACTCCAGACCATGGTGTGTCTCTTACGTGGAACGACAATGTCATATAGTTAAGAGCTCTTTCTCGGTTGAAATGCACCACAAACCTGCGCGTATAACGTGCCATAAAAACACTAACCAACAGCCAGAACTATATGCATAAAATTAATGGTGGGTCATGAACTCAAATACACTAACCAACAGCCAACTCAAATACATATACCCATGAACTGCGATGTCTATATTAATATCCAGGAATGAGTGATAAATACATGTAGTCAATAAAAAAATACCATATTAATATCCATGAATGAGTGATAAATACATGTAGTCAATAAAAAAAAATACCATCCAGCGCATGGGCAATTATCATCACCAAAATGAGCTAATGGAATGGACAAACACTCCAGTGTTCTTATTAATAACCAAATACGAAGGATTGAAACGTACGATAAATAAAGTTAACTACAACTCCAATGTCTTTAATAATAACTAAGGACGAAAAAAATATAAAACTAATATAATGGACCGTCCGGGTGCACTGATCTCTTCAACGGACAGCTGCGAGCGTTATGATGCGCGTACTCGCCACACACCCCGCACTTTCTGCAGGCCTTGCCACTCCTCTCAATGGCTAACTCCCGTTGGCTTTTAATTCGCTTGCAGGTCCCTTTGTTTTTTGCTTGAGCTGGAGGTTTAATGGTAATGGACGTCGGCGGCTCCACACCACAAAGTGCCGCGATGGCTACACCTTTGCTCTTTGGGGGGTTAACGCTCATACCGTCGCTCAAAAACTCGTCTCTCAGTTCCTCTATTACTTGAAGCATCCGCGTTTGGCGCACTGTATTGCTTCCAACCATCGCAGTGCACCTGTGTATCTCAGTCCACAACCGGTTAGGCCCAGATTCTAGAGGGGGGCAGTAAGAACATTGAGCACACCAATTAGCTAGTCCTTCCTGCTTACACCAGCGTGCTGCAATGTACCGCGCCGGCAAGCTCGCCATTTCAGCATCTTTGAACACAAGAAACATATGCCGGCAAACTAACCCCAATCTTTCAAACAACTTGCAGCTGCATGACGCAATAGTCAAAGAAGGCATATATTCAACAGTGTGGACAACGTTGTACTCCCCTTTAATGTCGTAACGGATGCACTCACCATCTGCACGGATCCCCACAACCTTACAATAAAAACATGCAGCCTCAATCTCTAGCTGGAGCTCATAAAACACTGTTAGGGTGAATACCTGCGCAATGTGTCGCTCCAATGCTAAAGGAGTTTTGAACTCAGGCAATGACCCCTCACTCTCAGCATTTAGTTTGCATTGTTTGTGCCGTTGCGTTTCCAGGACGCTCTCGTATTGCACATAAAACTCGACTAGGCTACAATGTGGGCGTGTGCTTTTACCGTACGCGTTGTTCTCTGATTCTGAATGCGATGTGGTACGTAGCACACCGCTCATGGGTAAATCTAAAAAATAAGATGGAATCCAAAACGCCCGTTCTGTGTATAACTTGGTGAACTATCGACGCCCCGTTAAGTTGTACTTTTCCATTAACGACTGCCATTGCGTTTCAAAATCACTAATGCCAATGGTCTCATTCCACACAATGTTGTTAAGCTGGGTTCGGAAAGTCTGATCTTTTGATAATTCAACCCCTGATTTCTCGCTCACTTTGGTCATGATATGCCACATGCAGTAACGGTGCCGGCATTCCGGCAATATCTGTGCAATAGCACTCTTCATAACATATCATACTCTGTATACTTTCGCAATAATAAGAAACTATAATTTCCATTGAACATAAAACACATTCTATTCAGGCTTCTCTAATAGTTCACATTCACAAAATGTTCATGCTTCTCTATTCAACTACTCAAATGTCATCAGGAAGACAAAGGCAGAGAAAATCTCAAAACAGAGAACTCAGACAACATTTCTATGAAGCATTTCATCACCAATTCTACTATAACATGCTCATTTCCATTCCAAATTCAATGAAATCAAAGCCCAAACGTATGCCAAGACGGCCCCGAGGTACCGAGCCACACAGGCCCGTGACACCTGATCCGAAATGACATGTAGCTGAGCCTCAAGGGCCCGGCCACTGCACAGGGAGCACTCACGGACCATGGGGCGGGGCTCAGCAAGGCCCGCCCCCTCAAGCCACTAGCTTGCCGGCTCTAGGCAACGACCCTCTCCTAGGGCTGTTCCCTAGGCCCGGTTGGCCACAGCTCTACCCAACGGTCCCTTTGTTGGGCCGTTGCCTTATCTGGTGCACACTTCCTGCGCACTGCGCACCAGATGATCTCTTTTCATCTGCAAATCAACCTCAGACAAATCCAACATATCCAAAACATTAACAACACATCATAGACAAGTAATAGATCACTTCATAGCTCAAACACATCAAAAACCTAGCATTTCTACTCATTTCTACCTATGAAACAAGGCTTCACATAGCCAAAACTTAAAAGTGGCAGTCCATGGGGTTATACCTTTGTTGCTTCTTCTTCTTGTTGGGATTCGTCCTTTTTCCCAAGTCAGCCACTACCTCCTTCACCTCCTAGACTCCACAAACAAACCACACAACAACTCTTAAGAACTAGAACCTTAGAGATAGAAGGGTAAGGAATGGAAGCTAGATGGAAAATAGATGAATGGATGAGTTCAAACCTAAGAAACTTACTGTGTTTTCTTTTGGTTCTCTTGCAAAGCTTTGGGGAAGACAAGGTTGGGAATCAAGAGGCAAAGGTCTGATGTGTCTCTAATATATAGGGGCACTAAACCCTAGGAAACTCAACAATGATTGGTGGATGACAAAATTGTCTTTTGGTTGATTCAAAAATATCAGACAAAGGAGGAAAGGCTTTTGGTCCACCTTGCAACATGAACCATAGTGTAGAATGGTGATTTTTAAATAGTTTGGGGTAAAAATAGATTTTTCCAAAGATGATTTCTAATCAAACACTTGGTTCAGGTTTCTCAGATTTCTCCCGGTCTCACTCAGATTGGTTTCTCAGTTTAAAACTTGGTACGCGAAGTACTCGAAAGTTTAGGATTTTGGAATTAAAATAAGCTCCGGTGTTGAATTAATTTAAAACGTAACTCAAAATAATTTATTCAAACACCAATTTATCTCAAAAAATTTTAATGGAGTGAAAATGGCTATTTTGAAATTTCTTAAAATTGGATTTATAAAATTAAATTTTGGGTTGTCACAATAGTATTGATAAACCCTAGATAGAAGCTCTAAACATGCATACATACAAGAATATGCATCATTTCACTCATGAACAACAAGAACATCAATATAACATCAAGAAATCATCAATAGCAATGTAAAATAGGTTTTGTAGAGCATGGGTTACCTCCTTAAGCCTAGAAACGCCTTCTCAACTTCCAATTCTTCTTCTTAAAACTCTTCTTCCACAAGGTCTTCCAAAAACAAACCAAAAACCACACCAACATCCAAAACTTAGATAAAGATAAGGCGAAACCAACTAAAAATACTAGCTAAGCTTAAGCCATAACCTTCCTAAGGTCTCGGTGGATGAAAGTTGGAATCTTGAAGGGCTCTTGGCAAGATTGGGGAGAGGTTTTGGTTTAGCTTGGAGAAGAAGCTAGGATTTTAGAGAGGATGTGGAGGAATGAAGTTCTTGTCTAGTGTGGGAAGACAATAGTGGTGTGTTAGGGAAAATATCTTGGATATCAAGTAAGGGTGGTTAAAATACTAGAATAACCTCCCTTGTCTACAAAATTGTTAGGAAAAAATTAAGGCTAGGTACAAGGTGTAAGGCACAATGTATCATTGACCAAGTAATTTTGTCAATTTAGGTCCTCCGACTATTTGAATAAGGAATTGGGAAGGAATTTGCAAAGCAAGTTTAAATTAATTAAATAATTAATTCCGTTTAAGGGATACTTTTCCGGGGTTTTACACTCTCCCCCCTAACAAGAAGCTTCATCTCCGAAGCTTGGGTGCAACGAGGTTTAACTAGGAACAACAATTTGGTTTGCAAGATGCGTGACAACAACCAAAACTGAATTTCAAACGAGGCTTGAAGCAACAAGGTTTCCACCCTCTAACTATTACTACTAAACCCGAAATAACCAACTATCCCGAAGCTACATCTAGGAAAAAAGGCTCTAGCACACAACTTGACTAAACTAGATTACACCTAAGGTTCCAAACAGAATTTAAAATTAAAGTCACCAACATGAAAACAAACAAGGGTTTAGAAAAGGAGTTACCTCACTCTCCAGCTTGGGAAGAGTTGTCAGCCGAATCCTCCGAAACTTCATCATCCGAGCCAGAAACTCCTGGGGAACTGTCTCTGTCTAACTTGGCTTCCACCACCGCTAATCTTCGATCCTAAGAGGCAACTTTGGTATTCAAAGATGAAAAACCCTCTTCAATGAGTTGATTTTGCCTTTGTAGTTGGATCAACATGCGCTCCTGGGTAGTCTTGTATTCCTGTTCCTCCTTAGTCCTTAGCTCTTTTCTTCTGGCACTCTCCTTGCTGTCATGGTCGTTATCTTCCTCCTCTTCCTCGTCTTCTCCCAACTCCTGAACCACTTGCTTCAGCTTTTTTATTGGAATAGCCAGCTGTTCCATCAACAATCTCCTTTCGGCCAAAGGTTTCTTTGCTACCTCCTCCAGGGTGATATACTCTTTATTCTCAACTTGGTAAAGTTCGCAGCTACAAAGATTCTGGGCATCAAAGACCATCTTGACCACAGGTTTAGCCACTGTTTGGCTCATGTCTACCCCCTTCTTTTCCAGAATCCAACTTAAAATCATGCCGTAAGGCAAGCTCTTGCGGTTGTGGCCAACACAGTAATCCATATGCTTGAGCATCAAAGCCGGCAAATTAAATTTCACCTTATGCTTCAGGAAGTATGCAAAAGTGCACTCTAGGATTCCTACATCCTTGCTCTTGTTGTTGTTAAGCAACAAGCTATCAGTCACGATCATCACTAAAATCCTTTGCTCGGCCGTTAGCCACCTCTTTTCCGGTCTAGTGGCTTGAGTAAATCCGTCCATTCGGCCTAACAAATACCTCAAACAGTCCTTGTGACTCAACTCCTCCGTTCCAATCCACATCCCTCTTTTATACTCCGATACTCCGGTTGGAGTCAACTTGAGGAGTTTAGCTAGTCGGTTTTCATTCAACGAAATCTTTGTGCCCCTCACCTTGGAGGTGATTTCTAACTTGTTCCCTTCTTTGCTAACACTCATGTGATGATAAAACTCCTTAACTAAATCGGGATAGGTCTCACACCTCAATTTTTAAAAACAACTCCAACAAGCCTTGGTAATTAAGTAAATCCAAAATTTCACGAGAGAAGAACTCGGTTTCTAGAGATTTACCTTCCAAAATGGAGTAATGGGCATCCACCCATTCCACTCTTTTGACAATGTTTGACCTCCTAAGGATGATGAGATGACCAAGATTGGACTAGAAGCCTACTCTCCGTTCTTCCCTCTTTTCCGGTGAAACTTGTGGCGATGGAGCTGTCGGCGGTGGTTGCTGCGATGGCGGGTGGTGGCTGACGGGTGGAGGCCGGTCGACGGTGGCTGCTTCGTGGGTGGAGAGATGACTGCGGGTGGTTTCGTCTACAGTCGAGAGAATGAGAGAGAGGGGCATCGGGGGTTTGGGTGGGGAGAGAAGCGAAGGAAAAGTTTTTAATTTGGGGATTATTTGGCTAGGGTTAGGAATTGGATAGATTAAAAGGTTTATGGTTTTAATGAGGTTTAAAAAATAAATTTAGGTCAATGGTTCAAGGATTAGGTTGGCAAGCTAAAGATTCGGGTTTGAAACCCTTTAGTAACAAATTAAGCTTACTTAAGGTTTTAGGCTCTATTTTTTCCCCTTAAGGTCTCCAAAGTCTTTCTATTGCTACACTTACGGCCCGTTTGGTTCACGGAATAGGCCGGGAATGGCATAGCATTCCCAGTAACAGGCCTATTCCTTTATTTGGTAACCATGTCTATTACCAGGAATAATATTCCTAGTAATAGGCTTATTCCTTTGTTTGGTAATCATGTCTATTATCAGGAATAATATTCCTAGTAATAGCCTATTACCTCAAATAAGGTAATAGCTATTACCAGGGCCCCTGGTATTAACTTATTCCTGAGTCCTCAGGAATAGATTTTTTTTTTTTTTTTCAATTTTAACCTTTTATCATTCTATGCGTTTTCTCCCTACGAATCATTCTACATCTACGATTCCTTCCCCGATTCCTTTCATCATCAGCATCAATCAAACAATTTCGTCCGCCATTCTGCATCAATCTTTGCAATTCTTTCTATCATCTACATCTACATCAAATTAAAGCTTCAAACAAAGGTAATTTTCTGCATTTTATTTTTTACAAATTAATTATTATTGATATTTAATTATATAAATATATAAATATATACATATACATATCATTGCTTCTTCTGAATATTA